GAGGGGCAGAGCCTTAGGTGTTCACCAGAGTGGGGCAATCCAGTTGCTGGGTTGTGACACTATATAGGGGTCTGAGAGGGAACAGTGGTGCTTGCTCCGCTCTCTGCTGGATTTCAGTCTCCTCTGCCACTTCCCACAAACAAACTGGACCCTTCTGGTGCTGATTCCCGGGTGAGTGGGCAGTTTGTGTACATTCTAGGACCCTGTGGGTCTCTCCAACTCTCCTGTGAGTCTGGGAGTCTCTCCTGCCACCTCAACCCCCACAGGTGTTTTCAATCATGTTTTGAAGCTTTATTTCCCTGAGCTGGGGCCCTGGGTTGTGTGGTCTCGCTCCCCAGTTTCACCTGGTTTATCTGTGCACAAATGTTGGGACCACCTGGTCCTCTGGCTGCCTTGTGTGCCGTGCCCCCTTCCACAACCCGCTGCCTCACTGCGTCTGCCCACTGCCATCTTGTGCGCCCGGGTCCACCAGCCACCACTTTGCCGCAACCCCTCTCTGCTCCACCACCCGACTCCGCCCCGGCTGCCAGTCTGGATAAATATGTCTACTTGGTTGTTAAACTTCCATACAGTTCAATTTTCTGTTGGTACTGGTTATTTTTTTGTTTCTAAATTGTTGTCCTTGTTTTGGTTGTGGGAGGAGGCACAGTGTGTCTACCTACACCTCCATCTTGGCCAGAAGTCCTCCACGCTCAGGTTTTATTGGGGAGACTCAGAGCTGGCACTGCTAGACCAGCTGTAACCCATGGTGACCCACAGAGGTAGTCAGTCTGCTGCTGGTCTGCATTTTGGGGCTGACACCCGGGGCCCAAATGGGGCCGTGACAGGGATCACTGGTGAATGCCTAGTCTGGAGATGACGGGCGACAGAGCCATCAGCGTAGACGTGCACCGTCTGCTTCTGAAGGGTGGCCTCCCCACCCTCTCCCACCTGTAGTAACGCTTTTGCTTATTTCATCCTTTTGATGAGGTACTGTGCCCTATAGGTCACTGTCACCTACATCTCAGCAGCTAGTTTCCCGCCATCTGTACCTGACACATTCTCAAGTTCATGTATCCCATTTGTCCTCTCGCCATGGTAGCGGGATTGACTGGTCTCAGATAACAGCAAACCATCCAACACCTGCACACTGGTGACTGGCTTGGACTCAACCTCTCTGTCCGCAAGTAACAGGTACACGCTACTTGGGGCTAAATTGTGTCTCCCTCAAATACAAAGTCTGAGACCGTCACCCTCACTATTTCAGAATGTGACCTTCAGTAGAGATGAGGTCTTTAGAAAGGTGATTAAGTGCAAATGAGGCCTTTAGGGTGGGTCTCAGTCCAACAGGACTGGTGTCCTTGTGAGAGATTGGGACAGAAGTGCACAGAGGGAGACCATGTGAAGACACAGGGAGAAGACGGCCATCCACCAACCAGGGAGAGGCCTTGTGGGAAGCCGGCCCTGGTGACCCTTTGATCTTGGGCTTCCAGCCCCCAGATCTGAAAGAGAAGGACTGTCATTGTCTCAGCCACACAGTGCGGATGATGGTCACCCAAGCTGACTAATCCACCAGCTCAAGCTGAAAAAAAGTGGGGGTTATGATGTGGGTGTGGGGTGTCAGTGGAACCCCAGGGCAGCAGCACTGCCGGCCTCAGGGGCCAGGACACACTCCCACCTTCCCTGGGCCCCTCTCCGCACGTCTGCCTGTTCTGCTCCCTGCCTCCCAGGCCGCGTGGCCAGCTGCATTCCCTCTCGGCTCCTCCATCGTGCCCTCCGAGCCCCTTCCAGGCCTTAAGCTGCTGCGACTCTCCCCACACCATTTATCTACCAGAAAATCCCCCACTTTGCCCGTGAACAGAAGCCTCTCCTATGAGAGACTGCCCGAACTTTTGCTCGAAGCTCTTCAAGGATGCAGGAAGCTCTAGAAAGTCCCCCGGTTTGGCAGTTTCCAGGCCGGTGGGCAAAGGGCAGCGTGTGGGATGCTGGGGGAAGCTTTGCTGGTGTCCGGCACTGAACAGGGCAGATTAGCATTTTAGCTTCATGTCTGCTAAAACCAAGAGACCTTTAAGCTTACACATCACTCCACTGCCTTGTGCTGAAGTAAAAAGCCTGTTTCCAGAAAACAAAACTAGAAAGTATATAAAACTTTTCACCCCCAAGCCACGTATTCACGTTCGAAAGTTGTAAGGGTGGTTTTCATGCCCCACCCCCTGCAAAACCCAGTGGTTTAGGTGCAAAAGAGCACTGGTCCCCAGGTGACCTGTCCCACAGGTGTCCTCCTGTGTTCCAAGGCTGGGGCACGGAGAGGGGCTCAGGTTCTTCAGGGGCTGTGTGTGCACGTGTGTGAGTGTGCACATGTGTGTGTGCATTCCCCAAGTTGGGCTGTAAGTTACCGAGATGCATGACCACCACACTTGTCTTTTCCCCACCACACTTCCGAATGCTGCAAGGACTTTGTGGGGACCCAGGGAAGTCAGCCATTGCTTCTTTAAGACACCCGTTCTGCCCCCCACTTCCCCTCAACTTCCTTGCCCACCAGCACAATGCTGTGGAGGGGCCTGGGTGGGGTTGTGGTACCAGACACCCCCAGATGATCACCGTCCCTGGGCTTTGGGGTGGGGGGTAGAGCCCATGTCCCAGAACCCTCTCTCCGCTTTCTCGATTGCATCTTTGACATTGTTAACAAGGTCCATTGTTACTGGACCTTGACCCTGGGGCCTCTCCGACTCCAGTCTGCTGAGCCGTCCGATCTGTGGGGCTGCTCACTCAGCGGGTCATCCCCCACCTGTCAGCACCTGGTCCTCTGTTACAAAATGGGGGCAGAGGTGAGCACCCAGTGTCATTTGTGATGGCTTTGGTTTTGGAAACCTAAAGTGAGGCTTTCAGATTCTCTCACACACAGCTCCCCCTGCCCACTCTCTCCTGATGCCAAGACAGAGGTTCCCGCTGAGGGCTAAGGTGGTCGAATGGCTTAGTGAGAAGTGGGGGGCCACCAGGGCATGGTATGGAGAACGGCTGCCTAAATTCCTCTAACAGATCAAGGGCCCAGCCCAGAAGACTCATTCTAAGGACTTCTACCTTGGGCAAGAGTTTGCCCTGTCTATGATGGCTGGCCATAGGGTGATTGTTCTGTGGTGCAGGGAAGATACAGACCTTGGTCGTGTGTTGTCAGGGAAACCCAGGGGGAGTGCTTTAACCCATACGAACACTTGGGTTTACTCAGCACACAGTCTGGAGGTGGGTGGTGATGGGTCAAATCAGCAGCCCAGGGATGTCAAGGTTCTAGTTCTCCGGCTTTCCCTCATTATCACAGAATGGCTGCCCGAAGCACCACATCACAGCTTCATACCACACAACATCCAGAGGCAGGCTGCAGGTATGACCAGGTGGTCAGAGGGAGCCCTCCTTTTACCAAGGAGGAAAAGTCTTCTTCAGGAGCCCCCTAGTCGACGCCCTCTCCTGCCTCGTGGGCTGGAATCACAGGGCCACCTCTCGCTGGAAGAGAGATGGAGAAAGTAGGCACTTCCCCTGTTTCTTTATGGAGTAGAAGTCAGGTAAGAAGTAAGGGAAGGAGAGATGAGATGGCCAGAACTGGGAAACAGTCTGCCACAAGAGGTCACAGGGAAAAGTGACGTCTCTGGCACTGGGGGGCGTGCAGGGGAAGGCGCAGGGAACAGGACTAGCTGGACTCCTGTGAAAGCTTGAGCCTCACTCCACAGACAGAATCCAAGGGACACCCATGGACCCAAGGACTCCCTCACCTGGCAGCCCCAGGGGACCCTGAGCCCCTCCCCAGGGAGAGGATCAGTAGGCGTGTGGGCCTGGACAGAGGTTTATTCCCAGGGCTGCCACCTCCAGAGGCTGCCACTAGAGGGCACTGCCCCCCCACAGGGGGCTGGACTGACAGTCAGTGTCTTTTTACCTCTACAGGGAGCGGCAGAGGCTGTGAGGGAGGTCACATGGTAGGGACACGGAAGAGAAGGGAAAACCTCTCTGCGGGTTCTCCAGTGTGGAAAAGCCACGGTGGTTCCACAGCACACAGAACACGACTGCACTCACGTGGATGCTGCTGGGTGCATGTGCTGAGGTTGCCGTCCTGCCATCCCTGCCTGTGCCCAGGTCTCCCGGCCCTGTGGCCTCCCTCTGTGCGTGCTGGTCCCAGTCCGGGGAGGGACTGACCGGACCAGCTGGTTTGGAACACACTGTTCACACAGAGCTCAGTGCCCCTCCTTCTCCGTGGGAACCGGTGGCCGTGGAGGCCAGGAGTGCTCCGCTGCTCCTGGGACCCCACGGACGGTTGTCCAGTTTGTGCCTGGAGCAAGGACACTGAGAGGAGGAAGGCATCTGGGGAGCGATGGACTTGTTTTGCTGAGCTCCAGGGGCAGAGGGACAGCCCAGAATTGTGGCCTCTCTTCACTCTCCCCACAGCCCTGTGGGGGCCGGGCCACCTGAGGCTGCCGGGACTGCCGGGACCTCTCTCCTGGGTGGGCTGTGTTGACCATTCAATGCCCGGGTGTACTCGGCAGGACCACGAGGCCCCCGTCCCTCCATGTTGTCTGTGTCAGCAATAAGGGTCGTGTGCCCTTCATATCCCTCTCTTTGGGGGTGGTGGGGGGATTCTTTAAGATGTCACCTCACATCACACTCTGCAGTGTTTTATTCACACTGCCAGACTCTGCAGTAGGTGTTATCTCCTGAGCCCGTTGCCGCCTTGGGGAGGGAAGGAACCGGAGGCAATTTTCTTGCACAGCAGTGGGCCATCCACAGTGAATCGTGCAGGAGTGTTAATAGAGTTTGGGGTCTGTTTCCTACTAGACGGGGGTGCGGCGTGGATGGAGTTGCTTCTCAGGCTTTGCAATGAATGGCCTTGTGCAGGGAGCCCGGCTGCCGGCAGCTGCTGAGTCCACCGCTGCAACCCCACTGCCCCTTTGTCCTCCCACCTATGCCCCGCACCCCGCCTGAGATGGCGTAAATCAGTGCACAAATGTGACAAGAAACCTCGGGAAATCAGGCACTGCTCTTTGAGAGAAAGGAAAATTGTGTGTATTTTCTGAAAGAACTAAAAGCGCAAACTAGCATTCATCTGTTTTCACTGTTAGGCTAACGCTGAACACAAAAACTTGGAGTGGTCCATCCTCGCAGGGAGTGAGGGGCCAATGGCAGCGGGCCTGGGATTGTGGGCAGTGGGGCCAACTTGCAGTCGCCGGGTGGGGGTGGCATCCTAAGTAGGTGTTGACGTGGGTCCCACCGGGAGAGTGGCTAAAACTCACATTCCTCTAAAAGGGGAAGGTGACAAGGAGAAGAGACATGTTAGAATAAGGATCTTCCTTCACTTTTAAATAATTCCAGAAGCTTTGGCTTGAAAGTTTCAATGGGGAGCTTCCTTAGAAAACATGGACTGTCTTCCTATTTTTTCTTTCCTTTCACTCCCACCCCAAGGGAAGCATTTCAAGGATGATTCTTCACAAAGTTTGGTTAGAGATGTGAAGAAGAGCCGAAAAAAAGCCAGGGTTCCTCCCCAAACAGTCTTTCAGCCCTGCCTGTCACCCCCAGACCTGAATTCAGCCCGAGGCAGTCGGGACCACTTCTCCATCTGCACCTCAAGCCCGCTGCTCTGGGTAAAAACGCAGCTGGCCATGCCCACCAGGGGCCTGTGGTCCCAGGAGGCTTTCCTCACTAGTGCTACGCCATCATCAGCCCCCGCAGTGTGTCGTGGACGTACCTTCCTGAACGTTGTCCACCTTCAAAGGATAGAAGCACCACGGGTAACCCCGGATGGCGTCGTCAAAACAGCAGCTCCTTTTTGCACACTGGGAAGGCGTGATACCAGGAAAACCACAATTTGTTCTGTGTTTCGGGGCCACTGTACATGTCTCTAAAAGTACACGAGGCAAGAGGCAAAGGTCAGTCATAGGCTGATCCTGACTCAGGGTCCAAGAGGGACACCCCGTCCTCATTTCCTGACATGAAATCACGTAACCACAGGGAAAACACAAGGTGCCTGGGATTTTTAAACCTTGCACCTGCCTGGACAATGTATTCAAGCACTCGTTAGTTTCAACAGCTATTGGACTTCCTTGCTCAGTCAACATATATCTGTTGGCACCGCGCGTGTGTGCTAGAAACACGAGCTAGCCCGACAAAATCAGACAGCGCAGGTCCCTCAGAAATCCAGCTCATGCCAGGCTCTCTGGCAGGTGGTGAGGACCCAGAAATCAAAAATAGAGACAGACTTCTTAAGAAACCGGAAGTCAAGTAGAGGAGAAAGCCAAGTATGCGTACAAAACAGCACAGTGAAACCATCCCAGTGTGTCCAGGGCAAGCACAGAAGGGACAATGGGCAACAAGCCTGAGCAAAGCAGGGAGCACTTCCTGTAGGAGGGGGCTGACCACGTGAGGATGAGGCAGTGGGTGTTCCAAGCAAGAGGAGCTATGTGTTCAATGGCGGTGAAGGGAGAAAGCAAGTGGTTTGGAGGAGGTGTGAGCTGATTCGCAGGTACAACACGAGGGTTGGGGTGGGAGTGGTCTGGGAGGAGCCAAGCTGAGGACTAGGGTAGACTGTTTCAGCCGAAGAGCAATAGCTTTCCCCGGGGGGGGGGGGGAGCGATGAAGTGACCCAAAGCCAAGAACACGCAGGGTGAGACAGGCCAGCTAAGAGCTCTCACGCGGTCTGGATGCGAGATCTGCAGGCCGGGGGCTGCAGTGGGGGTCAGGGTCTAGGGCTCTGAGAAGGCAGACCAGGCAGGCTAAGGCGGGGGAATGGGAGGGGCATCTGGAACCGCTTCCCTCTTTCTGTCTTGCAGTGGGGGGCCGAGGAGGGTGAGAGGTCCCTTCCTATCACATGGGCTCGGAGATGCTCCCGGCTGTGCGCCATGAGTGAGAAGACGAGGAGGCGGAGGAGCGAGGCCTCGGGAGCATCGGTAGCAAAGGGGCAGAACGGATCTGGAACAGGAGCGAGAGGAGGGTCAGACAGACAGGTGGACCGAGAGTCAGGGCAGAGGTGGCCACAGCTGGGCTTGACCTGGGGCATCAGACCCTGGGAAAGACAGTCCCTGCGAAGATGGGCGGATGTGGGACACCCTGCCTAGACTGAGGGGCCAGGATGCCCAGTTTATTCCTTTGTGGCCCCCCCTTTGAGGGGCCATCCAGCAAAGCATTCTATCAATAAGAAGTAATGTTTATTCAGCACTTTGGAGCTTGCAAAGCACTTTTCACGGACATTATCACACCGAACTTTCTTGGCAACCCTCTAAGGCAGATAACTGATCACACTCTGGAGAGAAAGGCATCGAAATACAACAAGTTCAAAGAAAGCAATAGTGCCCTCTCTCACTGGGTGACACCCGTAGATGAATATTGATCATGCACCAATGGGACAGGGGGGTGGGGCTCCGCCGAACATGGGACCCAGGAGAGCCCGCGAACCTGCCAGAGGGGTTCTCGGGATGCCCACCCGTGGAGCAGGCACTTGGACACCTGTGGCCACTTGCAGTGGGCCCGCCCCCTGGGGTGGAGTTTGGCTGGGACATTTAGAAGTGCTATTCTTATGCCCTACATCGGAGCTTGCTCTTTGAAGTGCAATGTTCAAGGAGAGCCTTGTAGTCCCGTGTTGGCGCTGGGAGACGGCACCGACCTAGGAATCGGCCTTGTCCCAGCAGTTCTCAGAGGGCTTGCTGACCTCGTCCCCTGATGCTATCACGGCCTGCCCTTGCCTTCTACAGCCTCTCAAGGGCCTGGAGCAGCACTTGGCTCACAGATTCGCACTGTGAAATGAAGACCCCATCAAGCTAGCTCTCTGTGGCCACCCAGAAGCAGGAAGGGTGCTGTCTTACCGGTCTCGCCCTGAGCCTGGGTGCTGAGGGCCAGCAGGAAGACCACGAGCAGGACACAGATCACCTTGGGCTCCATGGTGGCGGCCGCCTTCTCCTCTGCTCCCCAGGGACTACAAGTCAGGGGTGAGAACCAGACAGAGCCCTTGATTTTAAGTCCAGTCTCTGTTTGCCAAAAGAGCATTCCATTTGCCTAAGGAGGGTCTCATGCCTTTAACGCCAAGTAATCTCCACTGATTAAAAGGTGTTTCCCAAACATGGGCAAGCCGTACGCACGAGATTGCTGATAGAGGAGACCCGTGTCACGCCGTCATCGGTGAGGGATGTGAGAGTCAGCACATCGCGCTCTTGTCCGTGGGAGTCTCCTGGGTCGTGACTGGGTCCGGGTCCCAACCGTATCGGCTAATGTCAACATCACACCCACTGGGAAGTGATTCACAGTGATGGCCCATGAAAGGCACAGTTGTGTCAACAGTGGCTCACGGGGTCCCTGCCACACAGTTCAGGGGGAGGAGGAGGAGGAGACGTGGCCCGCCTGCCTGGCCTGGTCCTTCCCCTGTGGGTACGCCGCCACTTTGAACTAGTTTGGGTCTCCAAGGCTGGGGCGGAGGCAGGGGGAACGGGGCCTGGACAAGGCGAGCAGGAGAGTGACAGGCCTGGCCCCCTCCCCACTTCCTCTGCCTAGGACTTGAACTTGAAACTTCGCCTTTTTCCCCTTGGTGTTGCCTTGTCAGACGTTTCCCTGGCAAATTCATATGAGAGCAGAGTCCTCAATGTCCTGCACCGAGGAAAAGCGCCTGCAGGGGGGGCTCACGGGCCAGCTGGCACTGGCATCTCATTCACAGGACGAGTGAGCACTTTACTTATCTAAATTCATTTCTTTCCTTTCTCCTTTAAAAAATGAGGCTGTGTACACAAGAGCAGACATGGCAACTGATAAAGCGGGGGTGCTCTCCCCTCTAACGGGATCCCTCTCCCTGCGTCTGTGGGGTCGGGCACATCCTCCCAGGGAGACCCCCAGGACAGAGCGTCACAAAGGCCACCTCACCCCAGGTGCCCTGGGCCTCTGCCCAGCTTGGCTCTTCCTCTTTCATGGTTCTTTTTATCTGTGGATGTGCAGAAGCATTCGCTCACGTGCATGAGCATGTTTATCATTGGCTGTCCCTCCCGCCACAGGGTGGAAGGGCCTGCCAAGGGCGCTTCGTCTGCTCTTTGCGTTGCGGGGGCCTCAGCACCTCCGATGGGGCCCGACTCAATACGTAGCCACAGGAGAATGAATGAATAAGGAATCTGTTTCTTCAGTGAGAGGCTAGGCTCTGAGGCAAGTGAATCTCATCTGGGAGAGGTATTACTTTTAGGTGAGCTTCAGCTGCTCCCGGTCGACACATGCCACCACATTCTTCCTCACTGCTGGCCCAGCCGGTGGCCCCTGCGCTCCAGGCTGCCAGTCCCAAGCTGGGGCCACCTGACATGCAGGACCCAGGGAAGGACCAGGGCCCAGAGAGTGCTCTGTGGGGGTGGGAACTGTTTGCCAGGGACAGTGGGGCCACCAGACCCGGGCGATGCTCACGATGAGCAGAACCACCCTGCTCATTTCTCACAGATGGAGATCATCTTTGCAGCATTGTTTGCACAGCTTTTTAAAAAAGAAAATAAATAGAATAATAACAGAGAAAATAGGAATAAAGAGAAAGATGGAAGGAAGGAAGGAAGGAAGGAAGGAAGGAAGGAAGGAAGGAAGGAAGGAAGGAAGGAAAATATAACTATTCATAAGCATTTATTACCTGTAAAAGAGAAAAAGTGCACAGGATGCATCACAGTACATTCTAGTGCAAGGAAACACAACGGCCAAGCAATTCTCTGTCCTTCCCACAAGCCCATCACCCAGGAGCAGATAGATGGATGGAAGGGTGGACTCGTCTGCTCAGTAGCCAGTGGGTGCATCCTAATTCGGCATAAGCCTGAAACCAGAGTGATACAGGGCTCCTTCTCAACCTGTGTGTGTGTGCCCAGGAAGCAAACAGCAGGAGTAGGAGTGGTCTTCCTCATAAGTGAACGGAGTAACTGCTGGGAGAAGTTCTGCTTCCCTTCCCCATGACTGTGGTCTTTCTTACCTGTTAGAATGCTGTTGTTCAAGAGAGACCCAGGCCTATTGACCCAGCAGGGGAGACTTGCCCTTTTGACTTCTATGTGCCAGTGAACCAACAGTCAGGGGGACTGTCAGCTAGAGAGGTTGGTCCTCGGTGCCAGGGGAAACCTGTGTTACTGCCATAGAACGGGGATGAGGAAGACAAAGCTTGTAGCCCAGGGAGTCACTGAGGCTCCTGTGGGTGCCCTCTCACCCAGTGGTCCTGGCCAATGGAAAACCGAGGCGCCCAATAAATACACACCTGGGCTCAGACCCCACAGAAGTCAACACTTGGGTCACCATCACCGCCGCAGGCCAGTGACCATACCCAGATGAAGTGAGAGCAGGTGATAAAATGGGAAGGAGCTACGAGCACCAACCTTGGCTTCTGGGCCAACAACCTAAGCAGTTGCTGGAGCAGCTGTTTTACATAAGTTAAAGAAAATAGCAATAAATACTTGGCTAATTTCTAGAAGATTTAGGTATTTCTAAGCCTTGTAACAATAACAGATCATTTAAATGTATATAACACACGTAGGTAGCAAATTTAACTATGTAAAGTATTTTAAACTTTGAATATAAAATCTTTAAAGATTTCTATTTACTTATATTCAGAGAGAGGGGAAGGAAGGGAGAAAGAGAGGGAGAGAAACATCAATGTGTGGTTGCCTTTCATGTGCCCCCCTGCTGGGGACCTGGCCTGCAACCCAGGCATGTGCCCTGACTGGGAATCAAACCAGTGACACCTTGGTTCACAGGCCCTCACTCAGTGCACTGAGCTATACCAGTCGGCTCTTTTAATTTTTAATTCAATTATTTACTTATTTATTTTTAGAAATAAAACCAATTATCATATTCTAAGGTAACCTTTTGCATATGGATATTCTTATTTTTTTCTAAAGTTACACTAGTAATGCATAAGCATAAATAAAAGAATTAAAAACATTTATATAGATACAGAATTAGTACTACCATGTATAACACACATCCTTACTTTTCCCTCGAAATTTGGGCAAAAAGTGTCCATTAACCATGGCAGTATGTGCCAGGTCAGTAGTGAAATGGCTCACCTTAGGTCAGCACAGCACTTTGCATCAGGGGCCTGAGAAAGGGCACACGCTCTGACCCACTAACTCTGCCCTAAAGGACTTTTCTAAACACAGAAAAATCATTTTGCACGAAGACGGCATCAAAAATCTCACCGACCGTAAAGCCTGGCAGACAGAACCAAATCACCGACAGCAGAACGTCCGTAACAAATGTCAGTGTGATGCTGCCCGACAAGGTGTCCGGCCACCACCCGTGGCTGTGACCTGTGGCATTTGTCAGAGCCTGGAGAATTCTCACGCTCCAGTGTTAAGTGAAAAAGAACAGGATAGAAGTTTGCAAACAGCTCAGGAGAAAAAGGAGAAGAAAGAAGCCGCACCAGTGGGTGGCACTGAGCGGTAAAAAGATGCCCCCCATTTTCCTTGGACCCCGTTTCCTAGTCACTGAAAGGCTTCTGCAGCGAGCAATCACTTTGTCATTGAAAAATACTGTTTTCTTAAAAATTAAATGTAATGGTTCTGCTGTTGCCAAAGAGAAAGAAGGAGGAGCGTTCCCCTGTCTCCCCTAGTGGGTGAGTTATGAGTCAGCCACGGAGGAGCGGTATTTGACCTTGGAGGGGCTCCTCCCAGGCCACTTCTGCCCTACTTCCTCCTACCTTCCCTGAAGTCAAACACAGGAGTGGGGTTGGTGTGAGCCTCCTGCTATCTTAGATTCCAGCAACCCCACGATTGAGGCCACCCAGTGAGCCCTCGCCCCACCCAGCAAGTCCCAGGGACCCATTCGGAGCGTGCTGGAGAGACGCAGCCTTGACCATGAAGGGAGCAGGACACCCCTCGGTCCAGCAATGGTCAAAACAGGGACCTCTCTCGAAGCCCCTCCACGGTCCTCCTGGACTCACCAAGCTCGAGCTTCCCCACCCTTCTCGCTCAGCCCAGTGTGGCAGGGCCAGGGCCCAGCAGTCCTTCAAGGCTCTAAAACCATAGTTCAGTCCTAACTGTGGGTCCTGGGGATTTAAACTAGGCGTGAGAGAGGGGGAAATGGAGACCTAATTCCTCACTTCCAAGCCAGCCCTGCCGACCCCCTGACTCTGCCAACCTACAGTTACTTAACTCTCCAGAGTTCAGCAGGGCACCCACCCGGCTGAACAAAGAGGGCCTGCTCCTCCCAGCAGGTGAGCCTGGGACTCACCTGCTCATTCCTGTGGGTCCCAGGGAAACCTGGGGTGAGCGTGGGCACTGTACCTCCCCTCCCTAATCTGTCTGTCAGTCCCCAAGCTGAGCAGGCTCCTGGGACACTGACCATGGTCCTCGCCGCCTCCTGCTGGCCCTCTCGGAGTTTGCCTCTCTGGGCCCCGGTGCCTCACCTCTCTGGACCCTGAGTGCTGGCTGGTCCAGCCCAAAGTCTCCTGCTCCCATGTCCTGAGTGTCCCTCCTGCAGCTGCCCCACCCTGATGGAGCCCTTGAGGTGGCTCTTTGGTCCGTTTTAATCCACGTCTACCCCATACGTAGGTATGTGGTACATTTTTTGTTCCAGGCATGAGGATGTTCTGTCGGGCCTGGACTGATGGTGAGCAATCCTGCTGAGAAAAGGACAAGAATTCCAGGTGTGTGTAAATGACCCGTAAGTAGGCTGGCAGTCACCAGTCCCTGTGCTCTATGGTTGCATGTCCAGGGACAGAGGCATGGGAAAGAAGAGGCCAGAGTGCCCACTGGCTTAGTGAGCAGTCACGACTGGCCCATAGCGACTTCCATCGACTGAAGAAAGGCTCTGAACTAAAAAAAAGATCACTGAAAATCCTCACTAAACTATATTTCTGTTTTCTTTCATTCATGTCTTCCCATTTTTCACTTACTTTTTCTAGATAAAGTTGCTGAGAGTGGGCCCCAGAACTCAGGCGCACCTGGCAGCGTGTCTGCCAGTGGGGCGGTGATGTACAAAGGGTCGTGATTCTTGGGCCAGGTCCATTCTCAGCGGCTGCACCCTTGTCCGGCCTTTGTGACCCTGCTGTGCAGTCCCCTCCTGAGGAC